ACGACAAATCTCCGATCTTTGATCTTGACAGCCTTTAGCGGGTTCTCCTTTTGATGTCTGTCATGAAGATGTGCCCTAAGGCGTTGGTAATTAAAGTTCTAAGGCGAAAAATCACCACGCTATAAAGGCGAAACAAAAAGTACGTGACTTGGTAAATGAAGTAAAATTAGAAAAGCTGTTCGAGCTGTGAATTCCGTCAGAAAGTAAAAGTAGCGTACGTCAGAGCCAGTCACGTGGGAGGTCACCCTCCCAAGTACCGATCCCGAGTGAAGCATCTTGGTGGAACTTAACATGTAATTAAAATTAAAGTCCTAAAGTGTTCTTATGGGAAAATCTGCAATTTTTTCTGTTATAAAATGTGAAGTATAAATTAAGCTTCGCTTTCAGAAAATTTCATCAGAGCCATAGCGGCGCCGAATCCTACTGCGAACTTCTCTGCAGTGAATTTAGCTGCGCAAATCTTCTCTATGTGTGTGATAATGTTTCTCAGGAATCTGTTATTTTTCTCGTCTTTCAACCAGGTAATGGCTTCGTTACATTCATCAGGGGGAGCTTGGAGTGTTTCCTTCAGTTTTTCATTGAAAAGAAAATTTGGGATGCTTTTCTGTTACTGCATTTCTTGGGAGTTGAGGGAAATCTTCTTGCGTAAGGCTGAGGGTGATTGTTTTTGCGAGGCAGATTTCCTTTCGAACTTCTTTTTATAGGCTGCACATCCTCGGTAGCTGCTTACATGGGTTTCTTCGCAAAAAATACAAGTAAGTTTCTCTTCTGGTTTGAGTGGGCTGTGATTAGTGATTGCACATCTTTCTGAATTCGAACAATGCTGAGAGTGACCATACTCTTGGCGTCTATAGTACTGCACTGGTCGCTTTTTTGGCGTGGATTTTTCAATCATTACATTAACGCTAAACATATTGTTCAGGTTGTGGATTGCATAACCCGGTGAGTTTTTCCTTAGTTCCAGTAGACAGATTGGTAGTTTTTCATAATTATTCTTTTTTCTGGTAAATTGTTTGACTTTCAGGATCGGGAACTTACTTCTTTCCAAATCATTAAATATAGCTTCCTCGGTAACCGTGTCAGGTAAGTTCAGTACTATTCGTATCGGTTTATCCCTAATTAGCTGAAATGTATGGAATGGGATGCTTTCTGTCGTGCAGTAATTTAGCAGCATTTCTAAGATCAGTAATGGTTTTAACATAGACGAAAATCGATTTAGACTTCCTTTGTGCCTCGAATTCTTCTGCGCAAATTTGTCTTAAATGTTCATCAATTTTTAGCCAATCAATGGTATGTTGTTGAAACACAATAGATGTGGGGGAGGGCGTTTCCTGCTGTATGGCTCTTCAATGTCCATCGGTTCTGCATTTGGTAGAATTTTCGCAGTTTTCTTAGGGGAAACCCAGTTTCTTTCGTCTTCCATCAAACTTGGATTCTCAGCTCTGATTTTCTTCTATGCTTGTTCAGCTTCTTTAGCTTCTTACATCTTTCTGTATCGTTCTTCAGTATTACACGATTTTCCAGTTATTGCTGCAAGGAGTGTCAATTCCAGGTTTCTGGAGCAACTTCTCAATATAATCCACTCGTTCCTTCTCAGTTGATGTATCATCCGAAGTATGGGCTTTTTCCGCTTCCGTGTCTGACATTGTTCTCAGTTCCTTTTTCTTCCCTTTCTTTACATTAGGTGTATTCAGGAATTCTTCTCTCCGAGATGGATTAAGTTGAGACATTGATAATCTGATAGATCTTTCAGAATCCGCATATTCGCTTAGCTCATCGTCGATTTATCCAAGGGGTACCTAAAGAAGGACATTTTAGTGTACCCGAAGGTAACACACTGCAGTTAAAAATCGATCAGAACAATAGCGCCTTCGGAACTACGTGAGGTTCGTTCAGCTGCTACTGCTCGAATGGAGTACTGCGTGCCCTCCGCAAATCTTCGAAGTGTGTCCGATCTGTTGTATATATCCTGAATTATGGAGTTACAGTTTGGACTGTGGCTGCAGTTCCATGCCTTTGTTGCTGGAAATTGGGAATTATTTCGCCACACAAATTCTGTTCTAGTCGCATTCCGGGGAGAAGAGGGGGGAGGGGAAATGTCTGCCGAAAATAGGCAACATTCCTGAAACTTTAAATGTTCTTGTACTGCTGGGCAAGATTGTGTTGACAAGCTAGTGGACTGATCCATTACTTTCGAATCTGGCGTTAGAGATTTTTGATTTACATATTTATCCCATGTTTATCAAAACCTATAAAGTTTCGCCACATCTTATTTTCGAATGACTTCGTTGTTTTATCGGAACAACAGCATTCTCATAACTTTTGCGTTCTTTTTCAGTTGTCCTGTAGTACATCAGAAAAACTCCGAAGGGGTCATCAAGAGTACGAAATAAAACTTATCTTAGAAATTGTTCATTTAGGTTTTCATCTTGGAAAGCACACCCAATAGCTCAGCTTTCATAATTTCCATCAGCGCAAATGCCATTGCTGATAACAAATAATTTTATGAATGTCTTGTTGCATACTCTCTCAGTTGTACGCACCAAATATCATAAAAAATCATTCCTTGTCTTTTACACACCCATTGACATTTGTCAATAAGATATATGTTACAGGTTATATACCTTCTTACTTAAAAGTCATTGAAAAAGCAACCTTTAAATGTAACGAAATTTGCCAATATTTCGAAGACTTAACCGTTAAGTTAAGAAAATCAGATTCGTTTGGCGTCCAATGATTAAAATTTACAATTAGCGTGTAAAGATTCGTTGTTTGTCGTATCTAAACAGTGTACTGGATGATAGAATAAAATTTAATGGTAACATAACATAAACCACAACATTTTTAAAAGCTACGGGATAGCACCTGTTTAGAATTCCAGATGCAGCATTAAGTGTTGGCATACATTTTTGTATTTTTCAGTCATTTCTCAGTTTATCATATCAATATTCAGTTTTCTTAGTAAGAATGGCTAACATAACTTTTTATGTATTAATATAAATTACTAAAGATGACGTTCTTCGCAATTATGCCACATAAAATTCGATTCAATAGCATGTCGACTCACAAGGGTTTCTGATGCAGCAGGTGTGAAAAATGAGCAATGCAAATTCTTCATTATTTCATTTCTTTAAAAATAATATAGGGCGATAGTACTTGGTGGCAACAATTTGAATAGTGAACTTTTAGTGAACCAACTCAAAATTCCATTTCGAGACTAAAGGCCCTAAAACAGGATCTGATGATATAAGTAGCCATCAAAGTAAATATCACTTTCTACATTTAAAGCTACTCATGTTTAAATCTCGTACGCTGAAACTTGATATTATCTCGAAAGAAGCTTCAAGGTACATATATGATAGCTTAGAATGATTAAAACTGAAATGAGCATCTGTACTTTGGAATCAAAACTATTGATTCGGGGTGGACATCAAGGATTTAGGACACTTTCAGACGTTAATTAAATCATTCATGTCATCCAAAAAAAAATATATATATATATATATATATATTCATAGAAACTATGTCGGGACAAAATAATACCGGCTAGTCAAATTTCAGAAGGTCTGCAATAAATCGGAAAAAAGCTAAATGTCTCAGTGTTTCTGTTTTGAAAATTTCAGAAGTTCTATTAAGGATTTTTTTATTAAGTGTGTAACTTTCACGCTCAGGGGTTTCCAGCGGGGTCGGCATTGACCAGGAGGGGGTCGATGAAATGTTAAAGGTAGTTCGTGATGAGCAAGGGGTCGATTTGGGGTCAAAAGCGAGTAAATACACTAGGAAGTAATTAGCACATCAAGATCCCATTGATTACAAAAAATTATTGATAAAACTGATAAGATATTTTTATTGATATAAAGCTATATCGAGTAGTAAGGAAGAAATTATATAAAATACCCTAAAACGATTTACTATATTTTAAAAAGCAATAATTATTTTTGTAATAACTATTCCATTACTTTTCCAACCAATAGCATATTATTCCATTACTTTGATAACTTAACGCAATTTCTTTACTCCTGATGAAAGAGGACCTGTACCTGTTTGTCCTCGTAATCGATTGAGGTCTTGATTAAGCCATACATAAAGCTGTTAAGCTGTTGTTTTGTTAATTTTACTTTTTAACCAGGTGCATTAAATTACGTAGTTTTATGCTAAATATTAAACAAATTGCATGAATACATCACGCTCAGCCATCACATTTTCAAATTTTTGGGCAGAATCTGTAATTTTATTTCTGAAAACTTTTCTCTGTTTACATTTGTACAATTAATACTAATAAATTGAAAAAATTATCAAATCAACATTTTTTCTCAAAACTTTTTTCATAGTCTTTGTTATCTTTAAATTATTTATGTGTGATTATTATTGATATTACGATTGTCCTGTACGCTACATACACATCCGTGACATAAATGTAAGGGGTCGAAAAAGAAAACCAGTCTTTTAAAAGGGGTCGATGCAAGAAAAGTGTTGGGAATCCCTGGCTTAGTTGCTGGTGTGTATTTTCATCATTAAACTTGGCATGCATTTATTTCTCGGTTATGATTATGGCACAAAGTAAGGACCCTATTTCATTTCAATACTTTTTGCTCGCAGATATGTTTTCAGCGCAGACTTTTCAAAAATTTTTGGAGCGCAGCTTGATGTCACAATACATTTCACATTTACGTACCACAGCAAGAATTTTTTGCGCAGAAAATTTCGCGCTATCTGATTATCAATCCATGGTTTCCGGGGACCAATGGCTTTGACAGTCGGAGATTTTTTTGTTTAATTTTAAATCTTTAAATTTGTTGAAGAACTTATGAATCAACCTGCAGGTCACTAGTAACCAGTAGTCCTAATGGCCACTGAATCCTTCGGTTTAATTTTATATCAGCTATCTATATACATTTATTGTGACTTACCTGGTGTAATATGGTTTGGTTCTTTGCTTAACTTTTTGTGATATCGTTGAATTTTTGCCAATTTGCTTATTGTTTTGTCTTCTGTTTCAGATACATGAAGTACCTGTATGCGTATGAGTGCGAGAAGGAGAAATTGAGCACGGCCGAAGAGCTGCAGGCAGCTATTGACGGCAACAGGAGAGAAGGCCGACGGTCCAGTTACGGTCCGTATACCGACATAGTCTCAGCAAATAGGAACTCTCATCATCCTCAACTCTCCTCACATGCCTCCCCGCTCAGCCTGGTGTCACGGCACATGAATGGGCACGGCTCGAACCCAGGACTGTCGTCAGGTAGGGGTTCGTCGTCGCCTCTTCCCCTCACATATTATCCGCCGCACAACAGCACGCAACTGCCCATAAATTTGGCACAGCCGCAAGAAAATGGCATCTATGGTAATCACGCACTCTCGTCAGGTACGGAATATCTGATGGATTCATACTGTACGCCTGTAGTGAGCCACTTTCCAAACCTGGATATTTCGCGAGTTTCGATTGCCGAAAACAATTCAACGTCTCGTACTTTGTGCTATCCCAACAAACTTATCTTCAAGTTTATCCGAATAGTCATTGTAATAAATTCAGATAGCATTACACCGCTTCATAAGCATAATAGAAATACACAATTCAGAATTTTTCAAATAGCTCAAATGAAGATATGATGTATTTTTGTTAGTTCGGGATTTAAGCCCACAATCCTTTGATAGCGGAATTTCGTTGACGAACACATAAATTACAATATATATAACACTTAAATTGTAGTAAGAATTTTATATTCTGTGTAGTTGGACTAGATTGGATGATGTATTGTAAACTCCTCTAGCTTATTACTCTCTTCAATTTAATATCAAGAATTATATTCATGTATTTTTGTTCCTTAGTTCAAATTAAACTGTATTGTGTGTTTTCGATTTTACACTAATAAAATTTCTTTTATCTAACATAAATTATTAGAAAGTTACCATCGATAAAGCTTTTATCACTCATAAAAAATGATGGAACAACCACATTTTGGCACCATTTTTCTGTAGTGTTACCATGTCGCAGAAAACTCGTTTTAGCTGTTTTCTGGTAGAAATATGCACTGCGCAGTTTTTCGCATGTCTTTCTATTAGTCGCAAAACTTGCAGGAAATACGAACGATTGGTTATCCCTAATTATTTGTGCATGACAATCGTTTTAGGCATTTTCTTAGATTAAGCAGATTGGGATTAATTGAAAATCTTAAAGAATTTGCATCCAGGTTTGGAATGGAGCTCAAAGTCTCTGGTCTTCAAGGACGAGCACTACCTCATTAGATTACAGAATTCTTTAAATCTTCTTTGCACAGCATCTGAAGCTTTCTTTATTATTTTTAAGCTACAGCTTTCACGCCGGAAGCTATCGGTAATTTAATTCTTCATTTGGTACCCACTCCTTGTTGACCAGATTCTTCTTGTTTTTCTGCACCTATCATTAATTGCTTCATCGAGAGGATTACAGAGAGATCTCTCTTGCATCTGCATTGTTTTTCACAACTTTTATGCTCCTTTAACTGCGGAACGATGTTCTTTGTACATCTGCTGCGTGGTTACCACATTTTAAAAAGAATTCATCTGTGCTGGAGCTAAAGTTGTAGATTTTGTTTCACAAGCGAATTCCCTATCTGGCAATATGCAGCCTAAATTTACTTTTTTGTATAACGTAAGCAATTTTTTTCTTTTTTATTGTTTATCATATTACAGAATTACTGTAAGGTTTATACATTGTGAATCTGAAAAAAAAAAAAAAAAATACCATGTGTTCAAATTTATTTTAACAGTTGTAAACTTTTAGTCATTATACAGTACTGCTGTCTTCAGTTAAACCTAAATTAAAGACAAGTAGCAGAGATTAACAAATTTCCACGAATTTACCAGTGGCTGTAAAGCGAAGCCTTGTTTAATACTGCATCACAATAACTATAAAGAAAGGAAGGAGAAAAATATCGAAAAGAAACAAATGATAAGGATAAAGAATGAAATCAGATTAATTGTTAATGCATTTATAGACTGGCAGGAAATATGAGCTATAATTTAAGTTGTAGACTTATGTAGACTTTATGGATATGGAAAGCCTCAAGTAAATATAATTTATCAACTGATGGAATTGTTGGATGATTTTAAAAAAAAAATTCTGGATTTGTGGTTTGCGGACCAACAGTATTGTACAATAGTTGATTTATTTTCGCTTATATTATATATACTCAGTTTTTATTAATCTTTTCTTTACTGTGCATGTATGGAATTGAAAATGATCGACCCAATTTCAGGTGACTATTTCTGAAATTAGAAAAAAAAAAAAAAAAAAAAAAAAAAAAAAAAGGCCAATTACTTTAAAGGAAATCTGTCTATGGTTTGGCTACATTGTTTTTATGCAATTTCTTTTAGTTACACGAATAACAAAAAGATAATCGTACGTTAGCCATACTTGCTTCATCGTATCCTTTGCTATCGTCTTCGTGCAGTTTCGAAATCTTGCATGTTTGAGAACAGTTTTAGAAAAGATCAGCAGAATGTCTTAAATCATTGAAGAAATCGCTGAAATGTCAACAAACAAATCACGCTGTTAAACTTTTTTAATCACGTTTCGATAACCTAGGAGACTAGTAAATTAAGTCATCGAGTGTACTGCGATTGATTCAATGCAATTCAGGCACCTCGTTAGGGAAATATCAGCAACTTTTTAATGGTATTCAAATACTCTGAGATAGCCTCTCTCGTTTGATGTGTAGTAAATTAATACGTGGTTGACAGTTTCTGAATTATACTCATCTGAAATGGAGTCGGTCAGTTTGCATTACTCTGTATGATTATCGCTTTCTCGTTGTTCATGTAATTAAAAGAATTCGCTTAAAATACGTGTAGGTAAAATCTGGGCCGTTTTCTTTTTAATTTCATATGACATTTTCATATGTTCGTAAATTTCATTAGGTGGATCGTGCTTAATAGTAAAAGAACGTGGGTTCTCTGCTTTAGTGTGTTAAACTAGGAAAGATTTCAAGCAATTTGGTATACTTTGGTCTATGAGTGAAAGTTAAGTATCTGGAATTCTTATTACCAGTAAAGCTCAAAAGGAGTTAAGGAGAAAATTATAGTAGTGTTATCGATACCTGTAACGTCTTATTGTAATTAATGGCTGGAGCTTGACCACAGGGAGAAAGACAATGAGATGGCATTTAAAGTTTCGAGTTACTTCAGCCTATCCGAAGCAACAGCTGTGTTCACTTAAATACATCTCATTTTCCAGTTTTAATCGATACTACTTGGAGACTGAATCTTCAAGCATACTTTTATTTTTAAACAGCATTAGCATTAGTAACAATTGAATTTTCCCGAATTTTTCTTAGCTTTAAATTTCTTGTCGATCTCACTTTCTTTCTATCTATATCATGGCTTGTCTAGGATTTTCAAGAATTAAGGGAACGGATTTGAAACAAATATGCAAGAAATATAACCTGCGGAAGTTCTTTCTAAAATTCTGGAGGAGGAATACACGAGGAAATTGAGGTATTATTTGTGTGCACGAGTGCGCGTGAATGGCAATGTCTAGAGCATGAATAAGAAATTTTAGGCCCAATGTCATATCGGAGTCCTTGTGAATTTATTTTCTTGCTTTTTTTGTCATTTCAAGGAATGACAGCATGCTGTTTAGATTAGCGTTGAAGGCTGGCCTTGTGAACACATGCGGTAAGCATGGCCTGAACGCATTTGTCTCCAGGTCTCAAAATTTTATCGTTGTCCTACAGTATATTAGATCTCAGTTAGCGCTTTATTTTGCTTTGCAATGCAGAATATCAGTCACTTTGTCTGTTCTGAAAGTTTGTCTGTTCGAAGCAGACAGTGAAATATTAAAATTTTCCCAGCAAAAATAACAGTTGCTTTGAATATTGAAATCTTGTCTGAGGGGAATTATCGAATAATTTTTTCATTCCGGGAAATATGTGTTCACAGAATCGAAGCGTTCTTACAAACTATATTGTTGATTAGCTTGAGTGGTGCTATAGTCCCAAATCTTTATTGAGTGCCTTTATTCAATTCCGGGTGATTAAACATTGTGACATATGGCTCCATCTTATATCAGCTGCAATGCGATTTGTAATTCGTTTTTGCGGTTAATGGATTTTCTCATGGAATTATCCATCCTCCATTGATTGATATTTCAGACAAGGCAGTGGAAGTAATCATTTTTCTTTTATGCGCTGTTTCTTTGAAGTTACGCCTCACGGCAATTCTGAACTTTTTACAAATTGGGAGAATCAATAATCCAAGATTTTATGATGTACTTAACATGCAACAGAAGGAAGCACAAACATAAGGAAGTCTAAGATTCCGAAATTGAAGCAAAATTTAAGTAATTTTTAACTTGTGTTTTGCAGTGATTCGTGAGACTGGTAAACAACGATGGTTGTAGTTCTTTTTGTCATAGATATACAGGATTTTAAAAAGAATATTTCAAGACTAAATAGTTTTCGAATGGCTGGTCGTTCAAGCATATCTTTAAGCGTGCTGTAGCTAATAGTTGCATCAAACCTCAGCATTAGTTTTCAGCTATCCTGTACATTTGCAGTAATTTAGTTATTCTTGTCAGCAATAGGATTACCTGATTAGTTTATTAGCATTTAATTAAACACGTGTTATATGTGGTCTACTAACAGAATGGTAAAGACATCCGCTCGTGGTTATTTAACGTTTCGTGAAAGGAAAAATTTAATATTTAAAAAAAAAGTCTTAAATGTGGCATATTTATCAGTTAATGTAGCTTTCATATTTTTGGACTGTTTTTAATCGGGAATTTCTCGTTGCTTTTCGATTTCATCGCGATTCAGGTAAAATGGTGCGCTCAATGTACAGCATTTAGGGTGTTCATTGCGCGTTAATGATCTTTCCTTCAAAATCTGAATGGTTATCGAATTTGAATAGTTTGTTTCTTATGATGCTCGACCTTTCTATCGGTACTTGTCGCTTCTGTATCGTCAGGCGAATTGAATTCATTTAATTACGTTAATATTACCCCGAGCTGGTATTTTTAATTTTTAGGGCGCAAGCTTATTCATTTGCTTCTTCGTAGAGTACACGCTTTTTTAAGATCTTCGCTTGTATTAATTTAAAATTCGATATTTCGTTGAAAAGATTCTAGATCTGTCTATTGAGAAAGAGAAATATATAAAATTCCCTCAACCAGTCAAATATTTTAAGATTTTTACATAATTTTAAAAGGAAATCTAGCGAATTTCTACCGGGGTACTTAATATACGGAGTTACAAACATATTTCATGAATTACAATAGTGTTGCAAATGTTCATGAAAATTATTAACTGGCCATATTATAAAATTAGTATTTTTAAAAGTATATAAATTTAAAAGTAAAGTTTTAAACTATCAAGAAGTTTACTTATT